TAATTTGGACCCTTAAGCTTTAAACTTTATAAGTTAGTACCCTACTTAGACTTGTTTGGTATTATGCACATTTGTATGTTAATCTTGTAATCTCAGGAAACTTGTTTCTCCTCTAACTCTCTCAATGTGTTTTCTGCCAATATGTTACTTCTTGCTAGGTGTTAAACCTGTAATAGCAACCTGCCTCTAAGTCTTGTTGACCCTCTTAACTAGCATGTTCTGTGTTTTAGGCAACTTTTCTATGTCTGCTTTCTAAAATACAAGTGCGTCTTACCAAATTCTGTCCCTTAGTCACTGTTCTCTCGCTCTCATTGGTTACCTACACTATTCTGAACCTATCACTCTTGACCGGCTGAAAGCCAAGTCCACTAAGACTCTCTCTATTGACCTCCCTAGTGTAAGCACTGCTCGGGGTCCATTTGAGACCCTTGTGAACTCTGACACATTATGATTTGGGGTTCTTTGGCCACTCTCTTTACTACTGAGACCTTAGTTGTCTCTAACACTCAGTTCTTTCCTCATTCTATCTACTGAATATGCAAACTGGTTTGTTTAAGTGATTTCTTTGTGATTCAATGTTTGGGTCATATGATTAATCTGTGGCTGTTTGGTTTGGTTTGAGTTCCTCTATGGTTTCTGGGCTGTGTTGATGAATATAGTCACCTATTGGGATCTGTGTATGCTATTTTGTGAAGAAAGCATTTGTTGAAGGCCCATACAATACTGGGTATCTCTTTTTGGGCTTGCTATAGGCCTACTATTATTGCTTGTATAATATTTTGTAATTACATTCATCATTGGGTCTGTAATAATTTTGTAATAAACAATTGGGGTGTTAGTGAAATTGGGGAAATGAGCATACTCTAATGTTTGCATGAAAGGGTAGAAAACATGCCTATAGGGTTCGTATGATCTACTTGTTATTTTATCCAACCTGCCATATATGTTATTTAATTTCCATGTACACTGGTATAAATCATGCCATTAGGAGAATCACACACTCACACAACTTGCCTACTATCAAAGCATAGGTACTTTATTTATTTCTATGTCTACTGCTAGACAACATGCCTATAGGAAATAAAATGTCAATGACCATTCTTTCAATTTGCATAACTGCAGCATATTCATTAGATACCATGCCTATAAGGATTATACTAGCTTATGTTCTACTGATCTTCATCCAGAAATCATGCGTATAGGACTTTAATTGGTTAATTTGCTATTGTTATCATACTGCTCACCTAGAAAACATGCCTAGAGGGGCTAAGTATATAAAAACTCAGTTTCATTCGTTAATCGTTAGAAATCCTGCCTATAGGGGATTACTACTCGCTCTAAAATGTTAATGCTGAACTATCCAAACACTATTTCATTGCCATTAGAAAGCATGCCCATGGGATCAAACTGAGTAATTCTGACTATTTCCGATGGTTCTCATTCCCCACCCCCTACTGCGTAAGTCACCTAGAGATCATGTATATAAGCTTAAAGTGGCGTCTTGCATCTAAAACTTCTTGCAAGTTTGAATCCAAGGTCATATAAAAACCATGTCTATAGGGTTTAAATGGCTTTAATTTGTCTCAGTTCTGAAACTGTCTAACGCCTAATGTGAGAACCCGTTTTGTGTGCATTGGTTATTTAAGTATGGAGGCTAACTTGACCCCTAACTGTCCTTACATGAAGTCCAACTTGTTTTGTATGTCGCCTAGTTTTATCATTTTGAGCAGCCAAAGTAAAGTCTAGAACCACCCTAAATAGAGGTCTAATGCCTCCCAGACCATAGGTACGGGACGGGCAGTGCATGCATAGGGCACGACTTAGAATTGAATTAGAGCGTTTAAGTAAACAACTTTAACATAGTAATCGGGTAACAGGAGATGATAGTCTGTGCTCGCTGAATAATATGAGTAATTTCCTACCTCAAGAGAGTTGCGAAGTATTATTTATGTTGTACGGGGTAATCTTTTAGGCTAAAAAACTTAGGACCCCCCCTCCCCCTCTTCTTTATACTTTTAGCCGTCTAATATAGATTGTCATAGTTATATCCTTGTAATCCTTATTTATCATTGTGTTATAATATATTTCTTTGACCCTTACTCTCTTTGTTTATCTTGCCTAATTATAATCAACATAATCTTATGTTCAGCCGGGAACCACAGTTGTGGATCTCGAAGAGTGCCTAACACCTTCTCTTTGAGGTAATTTGAGCCATTACCCGATTTTTGGTGGCGTTGACTAGTTAAAAAGAGTTATCTATAAATAGGTGTCCTAACGCACCTTAAAAACCCGTTAGGCGGCGACTCTTCTTCTTTTAGCACTCTATCTCCCATCCAAAAGAGTTGTCACAACGTCGAAACCCGCTTTTTATGAGAAAACAGGGCGCGACAAGCCATGCCTTAACACTTTGAGTTGTGGGCGAGTTATTTGAGAAATGGTAAAGATTATATTCATTTTATGATCATGTCATGTATTGTAAACACGTGTCTTGTAATTCGGTAATTTCTTTCCTTTTCTTGTAGAGCAGGCCGAATGCCTCAACAGTATATAGATGCATCTATGGTTCATGCCGCACGACCCTCGGCAGTGTACGCATTATTCTAGATTGGTCCGAACGACCTCAGCAAGAATCGTGCGTTATAACGCTATAGTCCGAATATTCACGAGATAAACCTTCCACTAATTCCCGACGTTTTATATGGTATTCGTTATTTAATTGAGATTGACACTTGGAAAGTTTCTGAGTTGTTAAGGTATAATACAAGATCTAAAAATTTATGCTTTAAAAGAAGTAACTGGAAGATTATGTAATTTGCATATTTACCCCATCATTGTCGCATGCTTCATACCTGCTTATATTTTATTATATTGCTTTATTTGGACCTTTAGTAAGTGTCGGTGTCAACCCCTCATCACTATTTCTCCTGGGTTAGGCTAGATACTTACTGGGTACACGTTGATTTACGTACTCATGCTGCACTTCTGCACTAAATGTACAGGATCTGACAGGTTTGTTTGATGATTACCTTGGCGTGTAGGCGCACCTGTTGAGGAGACTTCATGAGAGCTGCATTCCAGGCTACGCATCGCAGTCCACCGAGTCTCCATTATACTAATTATTTTATCTACTAATTATTATATCATGTCTTATAACATTCGGGACAGATGTTATATTATTATTGTACTCCTTAGTAAACGCTCATGCACTTGTGACACCAGGTTTTGAGGATTCCTACTGGTTGTTCGTTATTGTAGTTCACGTAGTTATTGTCATTTTTATACTGTAAATTCCATTTTATTGGCTTGACTGACGGCGGCGTTGGGCGCCATCATGACCTATAGTGAATTTTGAATCGTAACAAAGTTGTGGATTAAAAAACACACACGAGAGAGGAGAATGATTTGGTGCAACAGGGTCAATTGGTGCCTATGGGTAATGTGGAAGATCAGAGTCAAATTGTATAACCTAGGAGTAATGATCTTGGGATTATGGCAGGGAAAACATTTAGTGTCACAAGTGGTATTCTAGCTAAAGGTGTGCTAATCAATCAGAAGGGTCAAAATGAACTGGGAATGATTGAAGGAATCATGAGCCTAATCTATTGGCCACTCAAGTGGTTGATGATGAGCAGAATGATCAGGAACAATTAGGGGAGGACATGGATGAGGAGTCAATTGCTGTCAACTTTCAACACATAGCACAATAAAGAGATCTATCACCTAGGAGTGTTGACAAGAATAAATCAGGAACCAAACAAATAAGAAAACAAAAGGTGAAATCAGTACCAATAAGGGTACAACGAAAGAGGAGTGGGGTCTTTTTTCCAAATACATTTTATGGATAATGTACTAATTTGGAGTGTGAGGTCAATTAATACTCAAAAAGCTTTCGAGAGGTTGATTAACCTTCATAGGAAGTACAATTTCTACATAATTAGACTTATGGAGCCTTGGCAAGACATCAACAAATTGGAAGTATATAGGAGGAAATTGGGATTACATACTACCCTAGACAATCTTAATGGGAAGATCTGGGCTTTTATTGATGAAGACATTGAGGTGGGGGTCATGATGGATATGGAACAACAACTTACACTTAAGTTGTTCCATAGTGTATTGAATAAACAGTTAATTGTAACATTGGTGTATGCAAAGTATGATGCTATACAGAGAATTGAACTGTGGGATTGTCTATACCATTTAGCTTCTGACATGGAATTACCTTGGCTTGTGGGAGATGATTTCAATGTCATTCTTTTCGAGGAAGAAAAATATGGAGGATTACATGTCTATCTTAGGGAAGTTGAAAATTTTGCTCATTGTGTAGATAATTGTGCTCTATATGATCTTGGTTTCAAAGGAAGCTTATATACATGGTGGAATGAGGGGTTGGATATTTATTGTATTTTTAAAAGGCTAGACAGATATTTGGCAAATCAACAATTTTAGGATTTGTTTCCTTCATTGGAGGTAGAACATCTCATTAAGTATGGATCAGATCATGCTCCTCTTGTATTGTCTTGTAATACAAATTATGTGCAAGTTATTAAACCTTTAAAGTTCCTTAACTTCTGGACAATACATGAGGCATTCTTGGAGATGGTGAAGGAGCTCTGGCATGCTGATATCATGGGAAATCCTTTTATCATCTTTCAACCGAAGCATAAAAAATGTGAAGAAGGCTTTGGCTATCTGGAGTAAGGACACTTTTGGAGATATTTTCAAGTATATTGCATAATTAGAGATATCATCAAAGTCCATGAGGTAGAATTTGAGATCAATCCAACTTCCAATAATAAAGCCAAGCTACACAAAGTACAAGCTGATCGTACAAGATATTTGCACCTGGAGGAGGAATTCTGGAGGCAAAAGGCTGGGAAGCAGTGGTTCCGGGATGGTTATAAAAATTAATTTAGACTCATGTCAAAAGGAAGAGGAAGAAACTGTAAGTGTCCAGAATTTTGGATAACAATTGTAATTGGCTTGAATATCATGAGGATATGGCTAAGGAGGCAGTTGAGTTTTTCAAGGCTCAATTCACTGAAGATAATATGCTTACTGCTTTTGACATTATCAAGCTTCAGGCACATCCCAAAGGTGATCACTGAAGAATTGAATGCTAAGCTCTGGGCAGAACCTACAATGGAGGAAGTGAAGAATGCAGTTTTTGGCTTAAATAGAGAAAGTGCTAGTGGACCGAATGGGTTCACTAGTCAATTTTATCATACATGCTGGGAGATTATATGTGAAGATGTCCTAAGTATGGTCAAAGTATTCTTTTGTGGTACTGCGTTGCCTAAGTTCATACGCATACTAACCTTGTATTATTCCCTAAGAAGAAGAATGTGGAAACCTTTTCAGATATGAGGCCAATAAGTTTGAGTAACTTCTCAAACAAAATCATCTCTATGGTAATTCATGAGATATTGGTAGAGCTGCTCCCTACATTAATATCTTCAAATCAGGCTGGATTTGTTAAAGGCAGGAGCATAGTTGAGAATATACTATTGACTCAAGAGATTATCACCAATATAGGAACGATGGGTAAGCCATGAAATATTGTGATCAAGTTTGATATGGCAAAACTTTATGATAGGGTTTCCTCGATATTTCTAACAAAGGTGTTGAGGTAGATGGGATTTGGTAAAATCTTCATAGATATGATTTATAGATTGATATCAAATAACTGGTATTCAGTCCTATTAAATGAACAAGATAATGGCTTCTTCAAATCAACAAGGGGAGTAAAGCAAGGTGATCATCTTTCCCTACTTTATTTATTCTAGAATCTAAGGTATTAGGGAGATCATTAGATGCTTTATTTGATGATCCAAACTTCATTGGATTTGGGATGCCAAAGTGGAGTAAAAACATCAATTATCTATCATATGCTGATGATACTATCATTTTTAGTTCATCACATTATGGAGCTATACAGTTAATTATGAATGTACTGGAGGATTATGAAGCGGATTTTGGGCAGAAAGTTAATAAGGAGAAGTCTTCATTCTATATGCATGAAAATTCACCCCCTGAAGAAGCCAATACAGTTCATTTGATCAAAACATTTCAGAGGCATCCTTTCCCCTTTACATACCTTGGATGCACTATTTTTTATAGTAGAAGGAAGAAGGAGTTCTATAAGGGTATCACATTTAAGGTTCAGCAGAGACTACATTCATGGAAGGGCAGAATTCTATCTTTTGGAGGAAGGGTTGTGCTAATTGCTCATGTGCTAGAGAGTATGCTTATTCACTTACTATCAGATGTGAACCCACCCAAATATGTTATTAATGAACTGCATAAGATGTTTTCTAGATAGTTTGGAGCAATTCTGCAAATGGAAGGGCTAAACATTGGGCATCATGGGCTACACTATGCTTGCCTAAAGTAGAAGGAGGTGCTAGGTTTAGATCACTTCATGATGTGTCTAAGGCTTTGTTTGCTAAGTTGTAGTGGAATTTTAGATCAAAAGATACATTATAGATAGAGTTTATGAGGAATAAGTATTGCAAAAAGATAAATGAAGTCTTAGGACCAAGGAGAAATGGATCTCATGTGTGGAAACAAATGCTTGAGATGAGAGGTCTACTTGAACATCAAATTTGTGGAAACTGAAGAGAGGTGATCCATACTTTTGGTATGATACATGGACTAGTCTTGTCACGCCTCGAACCTGGGGGGCCGAGACCGGTACCCGGTGCCTCACCTATCCTTGTGTACCAACTTGCAACTAAGGGACTCTGAACATACAATGTCATACTTTCGCCAAGGTCCACATTGCAAGACAATTTGCGAAGCAAAATATAAAACTGAACGGAAGCTAACGCTGACTAAACATCAATATAAAGTTGCACCGACAAGGCCGCCATAACTACTACAACTGACAAACTAACAAAATATATATACAAGGACTACAAGCCCAACATACTGCACTAACTAACAGGATATGTCTACAAGCCTCTACTGATGGATGTACCGTGATCGGAACAGGGCCCTAACCTACACATAACCTATATACATATATACACAAGATGTACACAAAATTTCTAGGCCCGGCAACTCCGAAAGACGTGAAGCTTATCGATAAAGCTGAACTCGGGCAATACCTATTGAGTAGGTCTACCCGTCTGTCTGACTAAACCTACACGCATGAAATACAGCATCCCCTGAGAAAGGGACGTCAGTACGAAATAATGTACCGAGTATGCAAGGCAATAAAATAACTGAAAGCTGAAACTGATTTGATAATATAATAACTGAAACAATTGGGAGTCAAAGTTGAACGTGTAATTGCTCCGCCGTAGTAGGCTCGCTCATAGGAGCTCGGCCATACTAGGCTCCATATCTCGGTCATTCTGGGCTCGCTCATAGGCACTCGGCCACCGTAGGCTCGGTATATAACTTAGCATCTGATCAGAGGTTGCCCAATAGGGGCCTGCCCACCGATTATAGCTCGATGGTGGTGAAAATACTGTAACACTGTGTATATATATAGACCCTCTGCTCTCTTGACTAGAAGAAGACAATACTCAATTGAATACGCAGTCTCGATAAAGGAGAATACTATAACTTATGAGACTAGGAAAATATACATAAATTCTGGAATATAAATTTCTCTTTATGTCTCGTTATCAAACACATGTAATTACGAGATCATGCCAAAATGAAGGAAGGGCTTAGCCTTAACATACCTGGAGTAGGGAAAAATCCGTATGATATTCTTGGAAAAGGTTGTACCGTACTCCCTTAGAATCGTAAAATATCACGTTGCGTAAGATGCTATGAAATCAAGTGCTCCATCGTGGGTTATTTTGGTGTTGTAGTAGGAAAATGTTATGTCTTCTTAATACATTCTAACGTGTGTTGTAATAGCAAGAACATTATAATTAATCACTTGAACATCTAAAGGCAAAATGAAGCAAAAATGTAAATCTTCTAAGTATGTGTTTACCCGTAATGAAGAATGTAGTGTCTTGTTTTTAACACCTTAGTTTGCCACCTTTCAACTAGATTTATGATTCACTTAATTTTGGGGGGGGGGGGGG